TCACTACACACTTTATACACTTTTCTCAGACAGGCATGAACATTTTCACACTTTTCTCTCTTGTTTAAACTCTCAAAGTTCAAACCTTAGTAGAAATATAAGTCCAGTATTATAGAATGAAACCAAAGGCACCCACAGGGGCCTCTGACAGTGCAAAATCCAGCCACGGCATGAGATTGATTGACAATTGTCTACAGCCGATCAGGACGCAGAACACAATGCAAAACAGTGAGACCGTGAAAGGTGAACTGCGTTATAGCGAGGGACCACTATATATGTGTTTGTGTTCAATAAAGTATCCATCTACCTACCAACCACCCCTCCCTCTTCATGCATGTTTTTGATGCAATCTCATGTTCCCGTAGAGAGTGGGAACATGAGACCAGACTGGATCTGAACCATAGACTTTTTTGCTGCAGTGTGTACCACTCCACCACTGTGCCACCTTCATTATGAACAAATGTGCAAATATAACATATTTGTTTTAAACTGTACTGGTTTGAGCACATTTTCCATAAGTGATGTACATTATTAACAGATATCCAAATCACAACAAATTACATTGATACATTTCTGGAGTTCTGCTGACTGCAAGCTACTGTTTCTCGCAGTGAAAGTCAAGGATGTCTCAAAGCTTGTGGATATTTCTGCACTGCTCTAATTACCTTCAACAGCCTGAAGTGTGACTCCACAGTCACAGTCACAGAGTTTGTTTGCAAATGTTCCTGAGAGATTCCTGCAGTTCTGACAAAACTACATTATTTATGTATCTGAAACGAGCGGGCTAGAGATATACATTTAAGCACATACACGATACACATATGTAAACAAACCTGCATGTGTTTTTGTGTCTGTCTGCATGTGTATTTAATACCAGGTTGACATTGATGGGCTGTCTAAGAAAAGCAGTCTGTCCACGAGACAAGTGGAGCGCTGGTTTAGAAGAAGACGCAGACAGGACCGCCCTGGAGTTCTGAAGAAATTCACAGAGGCCAGGTTACTACGCTTTGCTTTTGTGAGGGTGTGTATTTGTGATTATTCTGATATTAACAGCAACTTTATTGTGTCCCAACAGCTGGCGATTTGTTTTCTACCTGTATGCATTCATTGGAGGAATGGTAGCACTGCATGATGTAAGTAACATAACCATTTCAACATTTTTCCAACTCAAGGCAGTGATGGTTAAATGATTAAGTCTCTTTACTCATTAGGCTTTTGTCTGAACAGCTCTTTATAACTTAACATTTCACCACTCTTCTTTATTTTGCATTACCTGTACAAATATAATACCTTTTTTTTCTGCAGAAAGAATGGCTTTATGATACTAGGGAAGTATGGACAGGTTTTCCCAAGCAGGTTTGTTGCATACTCTCCCACATGCCATAATCATCAATCAATCATCAAGAGCAAAAACACAGAAAACCACAAAACCACTGAGGAAACATACGGAAAACACAGGCAAGGGCAATAAAAAAAA